CACAGTTATTTGAACACTATCAAAATCAAAATAGAGAGAAACATACCATTCAAAAACTGAACAGCGCATTAACTAATTAAAATCATCATTTTTAATGTAAATGTGTAGAATTGCATTAAATGTTATAAATTGCGTGCTCATTAGTGTTGGGTTAGGATTTGCTATATTGTCAACCGTAGGAAACTTTTGGGTGGAATTGTCACTGAGTTATTATTACGAACATGCAGGATTATGGAATTGGTGTGACATTTATATATGTCGGGTTATAACTAATGCAACGGGTAATATTTTTATTAATAAAGTTTCGTATTAACTTTATGACGAAACGACTTGGTAGTTGCTCAACTTATCAATGTTACATTAATAATTATACGTTAACAGTGTTATATTGTTGTAATTATAAATATAACATTATCATGTTATAATTGTAAATATAACATTATCATGTTTAGGTTTTGAGCAAATCAAAAATGACAACTTTATGAAAATATTGATCAGCCTTCTTTTATGTTTAAAAACTTCCTTTTTTTTTTCATCTTATTTTTTGCACAATGTTCTTCTTTAACATATTTTTTATTAAGAAATTTCTTTTTTAAGTGTTTAGATATAAAGTCGCCAATTGATAAATATTTAAATATTTACATTTTATTTTTATATACTTCTCCTTAAACTATGATTTTAGGTCAAAACAAAGCATTATTGATTAACTTTAGGACTAAATATAATATTTATATATACATACTATATTAAACATTAAATGTATGTATGAATGTATACATACATACATACATACATACATACATACATACATACATACATACATACATACATACATACATACATACATACATACATACATACATACATACATACATACATACATATATACATACATGCATACATACATACATACATACATATATACATATATACACACATACAAACATTGAAACATACATGCATACATACACTCTTGATATATTTATATATATATATATATATATATATATATATATATATATATATATATATATATATATATAAAATTGAAATATATATATTTTTTATATATATATATATAATTATATATATATATATATATATATATATATTTATATATATATATATATATATATATATATATATATATATATATATATATATATATATATATATATATATATATATATATATATATATATATATAAAATTGAAAATGTGAAAGATTTTATGTTATAAAATAGATAGTAATCCAAATAGGTAAAAGATCACTTGGGTAAAATATTGCTTTTCCGAAAGTTTTTTCTAATAAGGTAACTCTAGAATAATTTCAATAATATTTTTTTTTAATTTGCACTTTTTGAATAATATTGGTAATTTTAAATTATTTTTAAGAATTTACCAAGTTTATTCCGGGAAAAGACAGTTTACTACAAATCAAAGCTTTTAAAAGACAATTTTTTAACCTTTTTTCCTGATATAAGTGGAAAATGCCTAATCATGCAAGAAGTCATGATGAGAACAGAAAAGTTGTTTGTATCATGTGTCTTTGAAAAGGAAATCGTGAATTGACACCATTTTTGGTCAGAAAAATTCAAAACAACTAGAAAAAGCAGTTCAACTTTGATGATCCAAGAATTCCTCAAGGTCTTTGATCCGTGTAGGCTCTTGGAAAATGTGATGAAGGGCAGAAGGTTGTTTTACCCAAGCTGTTTCAATTTGAAACCATTGATGTAAAAGTTCACACACGTGGTCAAGCTTGTGAATACTTGATTTGTGAGATAAGGCGACCTAAACTGACAGAGAAACACCCTCTTGAAAGAACAAAAACTGGAAAGAAAACATTAGACAAAAGATGTTCTATATGTCTTTCTCTTATTGGTCGAGGTTTACCCCTTCATTGCTCTTCATCACAGTTCCGTGAAAACTTAAGGGAGCTTGCAAAATCTGATGGAATTGTGGCAGAACAAATTGTTAGCTCAACAATTGTCAGCAAAGAATCTTCTCCTTGTAGAACCATTAGACTTGTGCAGCTAAAAGGAGGAGGACTGCTCCCAATCACACAAGGTTTATATATAATTCTTATTAATATAATTCTTAAAATCTCCAAGCACTCACTGAAGAAGTTCTACTTTCAAGGAAGGTTTTCTCAAAACACAACATTAAACTTGGAATAGATGGTGGTGGAGGATTTCTTAAAGTTTGCCTTGGAGTTCTACAAAATGAAGCAGGTAGTGAAGCTGTGTCTCCGCCAAACAAAAGATTTCTGACATCTTTAACGTCCAAGGATTCTGGAGTAAAACAGCAACTTCTGGTTGCAGTTGCTGAAGGAGTTCAAGAGAATTACTCCAATGTAAAGCTTATTCTCTCTCTCATTTCAATCAGTAAAATCAACTTTGTTGTTTCGTGTGATATGAAGTTGGCAAATATAATTTGTGGATTGCAATCACATGCACATGGTGCACTGTGGAAAGCTCTAACCTTGCAAACCGGGGTACTCTGAGGACTTTTAGATCATTGAAGCAAGCTCACAAAACCTACACAGCAGCTGGATCCGACATCAAGAAAGCAAAATTGTTTGGAAATGTGGTTCATGACCCTATTCTCTTACTTGATGACGATGCACTTGTGCTTGATCTCATTCCACCAATGAAGCTTCATCTACTGCTTGGGGTTGTTTACCATCTGCTCAAGATTTTAACAGACCTTTGGTCAAAATCAGCTGAATGGCTCCAAGCTTTGCACATTCAACCCTAACCTTTTCATAGTGGTCAATTTGCTTGGAATGATTGCCACAAGCTCCTCAAAAATCTCGACCTTCTCCAAACATTGGCTGAAAATGACAGTGCCTTTCAAGTTTTCAGCATCATTGACAGCTTTTGAAAGTTTGGTCCCATTGTTTCTGCATGTTTTGGCAACAAGTTGGATTGCACTTATGCAGAAAAAATTGATTCATTCAGAGATTCATATTTGGCATTGCTAAGAGGAAGCATCACTCCAAAAGTACATGCAGTGTTTTTCCATGTTAAGGACTTTATCCAAAAAACAAAGTCTCCTCTTGGAATCTACAGTGAGCAAGCAACAGAATCTATTCATCATTGTTTTCAGAACCATTGGCAACGATACAAATGACCTATCAGCCATCCAGATTATAGAAAAAGGCTATAAATGTGTCTAGTTGATTTTAACAGCAAAAGTCTGTGAACAGTTTGGAATTTGTTAAGAATTTTTTTTGTCAAGAATGTTGTTGCTTTAAATGTGGATTTTATTTGATTATTTCGTTTGTAGTTACCCACATGATCTTTTACCTATTTGGATTACTACCAAACTATTATTGAAATTATTCTAGAGTTAACTTATTAGAAAAAACTTTCAGGAAAGTAATATTTTACCCAAGTGATCTTTTACCTATTTGGATTACTACCAATTTTATAACATAAAATCTTTCACATTTTCATATTTTTTGATTCTTTATTATGTTAAGCAGGTTTTATTATTTTCAAAGAGCTTTTTGAATGTTGAGATATGCTGTAAAAATGTAAAATTTCGAGAATGCTGTCATTTCATGAATATGTGCAAAATAAAAATTTTCAAGTGATTTTCTTTCTCGGACGTAATAGGATGATTTGATTTTTACATTTTAAAAGAATACATGTCTTGGCAGGATGAATGACATCAGGTTCTCTTTAGTTATAAAAGTAATTTCGTCTAGATGATTTTAATGGCTATCATAGTTACTGGCAGAGTCTTCAAAACGAGGAAAAACTTGGATGATTTGTAACTTTGGTGGTGGAGCTGTTATCGTTTTGGGGGCATTTTCTTTTGCTGGAACACTTCAACTGGCATGGATTTCAATAAATATGAATTCACAAGACTACATTGACTAATTAAAACTTAGTTTTCTTGAATATAATTTTTTTTTCTGTCAAACCGATGTCTCAAACTTGACCAGAGGTTGGGTTTAAACCACGGATCCTTTATTTCTGAGGCAAGTGCACTACTACTGCGCCACGGCTGCTTAAATTTTTTTGTAGTTATTTAGGTGCTCCCAGAAGTCCTTACTGTCTTATCACAGAGCACCACGGGAGAGCATTTAACGGGACGTTTACGCCTCCTTTCATACCAATATCGCTTATTGGGCTTGGGCTAACGCCGAATCTCGGACCTCTGGGCTCTGAGCCAGAACTCTAACCACTGCGCCACGGCGGCCCATATAATATGATCATAGATTTAATAACTGCTTTACTGCCATTTTTGTTAAAGCAGAAAGAAAAATAATGGTGAGGTTAATTCTATTTTCTTTTTTTTATTTTCAGTTCATTTAGATATTTCAGTTTTTGATATAATTATCTAAATAAAAATTTAATGTCGTCTAAATTTATTATATACATTTTATACACATTGTATATTGCTCTATGAAAAGAATATCCTTATGAAAGAAGTAAAATGTAAAAAATATAAAGTTTTTTTTTTTTAAATGTGGCAATAACAGTAAAACTTACAAAAAGCATTGATTACAAATAGTATTTTTATTTAACAATTATTTTGATTAAAAACAAAATTGTTAGCCAAGGACTTTTTAAAAATTTCGGCAAAATTTTAATATTTTTAGTTCATTTAGATATAGCAGTTTTTGATAAAGTTATCTATATAAAAAATAAATAGTCTAAATATTTTATTTCATTTTTACTAAAAGTAAGTATAAACCGTATTTGCATTAGAAACTTGTTTGAATACGCATTTTTATTGTTCGTAAGCAATTTTATCGTATTAAACACGCAATAGTAATACGCATCAGATGCGTTTAAAAACCAGTATGTAATACGATATGTGCAGAGTATCAAACCCGCGCTTCAAGGTGGTTTAATAATCGACATTTATTATGCGCATGCGTCATATTTTGCTCAAAAGTTGATAAACAATATTTGCAGGTATACAGAAAATTACTAATAACTATCTACTCTTCAAATTAGATTTATTTGGTGATATAATTAAGTTACCCTAAGAATTGATGTCAAAACAATACATTAGGTATCGTTTGTGTCATTAAAGCTAAAAATTAAATAATTTAACCAAGAGAATAGATGTAGAACTAAAAAAATATATAGATGTCAAACTAAAAAATAGTAAAAATTTGTTGTTTTTCCTGAGAAGTTTTATGTGTGCTTACATCATAGTCTATATTCAAAAACTGTGAATTTTTTAGTCACTAATTCGATTTTTTTTGAAAATACAATAGTCTGTGAATCATTAAAGTAAAAATCATAAACCGGTTACTTTT